GGCACACGCTGCCAAGGGGGCGGGGCTCAGCACCCGCCACGCCCCGGGGCACCCGCGCGGTGACGTCACGGTGACATCGCGGTGATGGCATGGGGCTCAGACCCGCTCCGACACCCCGGGGGACCCACGCGGTGATGTCACGGTGACATCACGGTGATGTCATGGGACTCAGACCTGCCCCGACACCCCGGGGGTCCTGTGCAGTGACATCACGGTGACATCACAGTGATGTCACAGGGCTCAGACCTGCCCTGACAATCCAGGGGTCCCACGCAGTGATGTCACAGTGACAACATGGTGACAGCGCAGGGCTGACGCCCACCCTGACACCATGGGGGGTCCCGCATGATGACATCATGGTGACATCATGGTGACATCATGGTGACAGCACAGGGCTCAGAACTCCACGACACCCCGGGGGTCCCGCATGGTGACATCACAGTGACATCACGGTGATGTCATGGTGATGTCCCGGGGCTCAGACCCACCCTGACACCCCAGGGGTCCCGCTTGGTGACATCACGGTGATGTCATGGTGACATCACAGGACTCAGACCTGCCCCAACTCCCTGGGGGTCCGGTGCGGTGACATCACGGTGACATCACAGTGATGTTGTGGTGACATCACAGTGACATCACAGGGCTTCAGAACCCCCTGACACCCCGGGGGTCCCACACAGTGATGTCACGGTGACATCACGGTGATGTCATGGTGATATCATGGTGACAGCGCAGGGCTCAGACCCGCCCTGACACCCTGGGGGTCCCGCATGGTGACATCACAGTGACATCACGGTGATGTCATGGTGATGTCCCGGGGCTCAGACCCGCCCTGACACCCCGGGGGCCCTGCGCGGTGACATCATGCTGACGTCACGGTGACGTCACAGGGCTCAGACCCACCCTGACACCCCGGGGTCCTCGTGCGGTGATGTCACGGTGACACCACTGTGATGGCGCGGGGCTCAGAACCCTGCAACACCCCAGGGGACCCGCGCCGTGACATCACGGTGACATCACGGTGATGTCGCAGTGACATCACAGGGCTCAGACCCACCCTGACCCTCAGGGTCCTGCGTGGTGACATCACAGTGACGTCACGGTGACACCATGGTGACATCACAGGGCTCAGACCCGCCCCAACACCCCGGGGGTCCCACATGGTGACGTCGTGATGATGTCGCAGTGACATCACGATGACATCACAATGACATCACGGGGCTCAGACCTGCCCTGACACCACATGGGTCCCGCGTGGTGACACCGCAGTGACGCTGTGGTGACATTGTGGGGCTCAGACCCGCCCTGACACCCCGGGGGTCCCACATGGTGACGTTGCGGTGACATCACGATGACATCGCAGTGACGTTACGTGACTCAGACCTGCCCCGACACCCCAGGGGCCCCATGCGGTGACATCACGGTGACATCATGGTGACGTACGGGTGACATCGCAGGGCTCAGACCCGCCCCGACACCCCAGGGGTCACGCGTGGTGACACCGCGGTGACATCGCAGTGACGTCACAGTGACATCACGGGACTCAGACCCGCTCCAGCACCCCAGGGGCCCTGCGCTGATGCTGCGGTGACATCACGGTGACATCACGGTGACATCACAGGGCTCAGACCCGCCCTGACACCCCGAGGGCCCCGCGCGGTGACGCCGCGGTGACATCCCGGTGACATCCCGGTGACGTCCCCCCTCACCAGGGCCGGCAGCCGTGCTGGAAGTGCTCCCCGGGCTGGCGCTGTCCCCCAGGCAGGTGACAGCGGCACCGCGAGGCCACCACGCAGCCCCCGTCCTGCGCGAACAGCC